TCCCTCGCTTGGGCCCACGCAGATATAAACGCAGGGGTGAAGCTGGCTTCTCTGCCACCTTTCTGTGTCTCCTCTTCTTTGTGCCAGACTCCTGTTGGATCTGCACAACCATGCCGCTGGTCACTATGAATAGCCTGCCTAATACCTGCCAATTAAGGCTGAATGGCACACAGATAACTGTCCCAAACCTGCTGCCACCTTGGATTCCAGAAGACCATCCTCACAGAGGAGGCTGTCCCCTAGATAGGGACAACCATCTGTGTTGGAGAGGCTGCAGCCAGAGGCAGGTCCCACTGCACAAACCAAACAGCCCCCTCCGAGATGACGGTGGTTAGATTAACAATCTGTCAGCTCGCTTTGCAGGATCAGAACTGAACCAGTGTTGGGACAGACCATACCAGCTGTTGAACTTCACACACCTCTTGTCCTTTGCCCCATTTTGTTGCTGGCAGGTTTTTCTTTCTAGCGTGGACCCGCTGCTGCTTCTGCCCCTAATAAACACACAGATGCTATATCAATTATTAAACTACTGGCTGATGGCTAGCTTCTTATTGGCTGGCTATATTAATTATTAAACTATTGACTGATGTCTAGCTTCTTATTGGCTGGCGCTGTCTTAATTATTCACCCATTTCCATATATCTACTTATTTCCATGTGGTCTTGGCTTACTGGAGAATGTCTGGATCTGCTGTTACTCCTTTGCCATCTAGATGTCATCTCCTTCTGTCTCTCCCTGCCTACCTTTCCCTTGTCTCCTAGTCCCGCCTATCTTCCCGCCTCTACTGGCTATTGGCCAAACAGTGTTTTCTTCATCAACCAATAAGAGAAACATATATACAGAAAGACGTCTCCCATCACCAGTCAACTTGGGGTCATCTTTATTTAGCCCTCTTCCCAAAATAAATAATTAAACCCCTTTGGTCTTCTTTTCACCGTTTCCCCTCTCTTCACTGGCATACCGGGATGGGTGGCAGATCCTTGCCTGCTGAGGGTTTCTGGAGCCAGGGCTTACGCTCTAAACCCAGGGATGCAGATTCCTAGTTATGGTATGACGAGCATCACTGGACATACTGAGTAGGCAGTTAAGTGGAGGATTCAGGACTAGAGGAGAGAGAACGCAGTTACATACAGATTTGGTGGCCGCCAGCGTATGGAGAGCATGTTTATCATGGCGTCGGTTGAGAGCACAGTATGGAGAGAATGGGAAGTAGAGGAGGAGGCTGGAGCGGTGGCTCAGTGGTTAAGAGCTCTCACTGTGCAATCACAAGGAGAGGAGCTGGGTGCCCATCACTCCTGCAACAAGCTAAGGGGATGATCTCTTCTAACTCTGTGTGCATGTACACACACCCCTACATAAATCTTAAAAGAATATGAAAGAAATGGATTATCCTACCAGCCCTACCCTTGGGGTTAGAGCCCACACAGCACTGCGTTATGGGTGATAAGGAATTTTTGGGTTCCACCGTGGACTATATTTACGTACAATGGAGAAGACACTCATGATTGCAAATGGGCATAAAACACATTGCGGATCCTCTTCCTGTGGAGAACTGGCATTGGGTTACAGGGTTAACACAGGTGGAATCCTTGAACACAGGGAAAGATTCATTCATTGAAAATGAAGCCATCTTAATTCTTTAACCAAAAGCTATTGTTCTGAAATGCTTAGAGGTAGATCATTTCCTAAGACCTTAGAATTGATATCTATTGAGTTTATCTCCTTCTCTACAGCTCGAAGCACACGCCAGATTTAACTTACTATGTCGTGTATCTCTTTCCTCTGCTTTGTGAGAAAATTTTAAATGTTAATTTTAGCTTCCTAAAAGACTAAACATAAACCTTGTCTAAAATATTACAACATGTAATGAACTTTAAAGACTAACTCACTGTGAAAGTTAATTCTGTCACCTTTACAAGATCCAAAATCACCTAAGAGACTCGCCTCTAGGCATGTCTGAGAGGTATTATCTAGATTAAGTCACCCAGGTAAACACACAGTAACTATGGGCAGCACTGTTCCATGGGCTGGGGGGCGGGGGCGCCCCCAGAATGACTGAGCTGACCCCAGTGTCCATCTCTCTCTGCTGCTTGACTGTGGACATGCTGTGTCCAGCCCCTCAATCCCCCATAGCTACAATTCCCCCCACCATGACATGCTGTACCCGGGAGCCCTGAGTCAAAACAAACACTTCTCTTCGTTGCTTGCATCAGACACTTGTAGTAGGACATAATACACCGATAACTGTAAATTTACTAATTTAAAAATAACAAAGTAGTCACCATTTTCGTAGACCTTCAACATTTATACTTTTGGCACTTATGAGAAATAAGCACCGAAGAAATATTACACCGGAAGTGGTTTGTAAAGTTCTGCGCTGTCCCCGTGGCCACAGTTACTCACATTTTTAGAAAACAATACCTCGATGAAATGGGCAAAAATTCAACACTCATCACATACATATCTTGATACATATCTCGCCACAAAGAATTTTCTAGAGTCTGCCTCAGTGAGTTGTGCTAAAGTCAGCGATTTGTGCATTCTGTGGCTGTGTTATTATTATTATTTTTTCTTTCTAAGTCAGCTCCCAGACTTCCGACAACGGAACGCACGCCAGCACTGAGTCAAAGTTTCCTACCTTCTGAGTGGGAATGCTACTTGATTTCCACGTGTTCCCCATGCAAGGCCGTCCTGTACCACACTTGGGGACCAGGAGACGGATTCAGAAAGGCTCGGGTCTGGGCTCAGCCTCTGCTTTGAAGCTTCAGCTGTATACCTTTTGGTCCAAGCGGACCTGACGCCTCCCTTCTCTCTTACACTTGCTCTTCCTGGGCTCTGTAACAGGCCACCTCAGATGAGAAGTCCTTCCAGCACTGCTCCCTGGCCTCCTGGCTCACAGCCAAGGGTGCACTGAGACTAGTTCCTCACAGGGGGATCCTCCCCGGCTCTTGCAGCCAGGTACCTCACACCCGAGATTATTCCCTACAGAAACCTTGTGGATTCGTGCAGGCACATTCCTACCAAGGCGACTCAGTCGGCAAACAACAGCAGGAGAGGAAAAGCTTGCTTCAGGGTTTTCAGGCCCTGGTGACTTACCCCAGGCTTGCCACTGTTGGCTCCAGGTTCTTATGGGACATCGTTTAGGAGCCACTGTTGTCTACAGGTGGCTCTAGATTCTTATGGGACGTCATTTAGGAATTCAGTGACTTCGGCTAAATCCCATCAGTTAGTAGTCAGCAACTGTTAGCAGACAGCTAGCTGGTCAGCCATCCTGAACGTGGAGTGAGCTGGTCAGCCATCCTGAACGTGGAGTGAGCTGGTCAGCCATCCTGAACGTGGAGTGATTTGGTTATTGGTTTGGTTATTAGTTCTCTACACTTTGGGATCCCTAGAAGCAGCCACTGCGAAATGTTTTACTGATGCAACAGAAAAATGGATAAAAGGGACAGGGGGACACAGCTCAGCACATAAGAGCACTTGGTGGGCAGGGTGTGTGTGTGTGTGTGTGTGTGTGGTGTGGGCAGGATGGCTGCCAGCCTGGCTCTAGGTGGAGAGACCCTGTCTCAAGGGAATAAGGGGGCAGCTGATAGAGCTGGACATGTGACATCCTCCACTGGCTTTTGTGTAACCTGCACACATGTACGTGGACACGCACATCCCTGATACAGGCTCTCTCTTCAGGAGGAAGACAGCACAGAAAGGATATAACCTCTGAATTATAATAGCAATTACATTTAATCAGAATACTTTTAATTATGCAGACGAGCCACACGACGTGTTCAGTAGTAAAGATGTCAGGCAGGATGCCAGGAATGGAGTCTACTGGGAGAAAGCAGACAGAAGTGATCTGAGAAAAACTGGCATTTTTTTTCTCTTGGGCACAGAACACTGAAGACTGATGGTCAAACAGGCCTTTGTTAGGGTCCACGTGTGTGAGATGTGTTCATTTAAAAATGAAATAAAGTTTAGTTTTCGTTTGTTTGGTTTTCAATGTCTGGCAGTCTTAGCTGTGAGCTCTCACAAGCTGTCCTCACTGCCTGGCATCGGTGATGCTGCTAAGTAAGGTAAAGGGCCTGTGATGCTGCCGCTGTTGCTAAAGGAACTGTGGTGCTGCTGCTAAGGACCTAGGATGCTGGTGTTGTTACTGTTGCTAAGTGGCCTGTAATGCTGACACTGTTGCTAAGGAGCCTGTGGTACTGTTGCTAAGGAACCTGTAGTGCTGGAGCTGTTGCTAAGGGGACTGTGGTGCTGGCACTGTTGCTAAAGAACCTGGGATGCTGGTACTATTGCCCAGGAGCCGGTGGTGTTGTTGCTGTTGCTAAGGAGCCTGGGATGCTGTTGCTGTTGCTAAGGTCAAGGGTCTGTGATGCCTGCTGTGTATGGTCTGAGGCTTGTGAATGCTTGGTGTGCTAGCTTTCTGTGTTGTCAGCAGTCTTCAGGACACAACAGAGCATTCACTGGCATGAGAGCTTCGGGCCAGCTCCTCTTCCCTTGGTTTCAAAAATGCCTTCTAGGCTTCTACATAAAATTATTTTTTTTTCAGTGAACAGTGCCTTTTGCGTTTACTATTTAAACACATCATTTTCTAGTTTAATCCAGTTTAATTGTAAAACTATATAAAAACATTCATGAGAAGATATAATTATGGGCACCTGACTCTGCAGTGTAACCAATCCCAGGGCAACTGCTGAGTCAGCTCCTTGAACTTATGAGTCAGCACTTTTAGCTAAGGGACTGTACTTTTATTAACCACCACTGCTTCTGAGTCAACGGCAAATGTCTTAAGTAGAGCACTGTCTGTCCAGGAACTTGAAGAAGATACAACATTTGTAAAGAATTAATAGACTGTGGCCTGGGTATAGTAGTGGAGCATGCCTTCCCGGAGCAGAGGCAGGTGGATCTCTCTGACTTTAAAAAGCAGGGCTTCACAGCGAGACCCTGACTCAAGATGGGTGGGGGTAGGGGTGGGGGAGGAGGAAGAAACACTCAGGAGAAACAGATAACATGGCAACCAAGTTTATTATACTGAGAAATCCCAGAGAAGTACAAGGCCCCTGAAAGCAGAAGCAATTCAAGAAGAGAGACATGGCAGCTGCATAGGTACACGCGTAGGTGCGCTGTTGTCAGTTCTGACGGTGAAACTGCTCGTGATTTCCTACTGGAGTACACTGCTCATGGATCAACATCCCGATGATCCCATATGTCTAAAACTTGGTTAAATCCCCACAGATGTCTGGGAATCCAAGTTATGTTCTTTCTACAGATTAGATTATGAAAAATGATTGGCAGAGCCTCTGAAGAAGGGCAGGAGGCAAGACCGTGCCACGCACCCGAGGTTAGATGGGGGGCATCGGCTCGAAGCCTGGTCAGCTAGTGTCGTTTATTCTTTATAAAGTAATGAAAACACGCAGACTGACCTTTAGAGAAGCGGCCAGGCTAGTCACAACAATGGCCGTGTCAGTGTTTCTATCCACTCTACTTCTCGGGAACAAATAAATATGTGGTTACACAGTGGTGTCGTCCCACAGATCACAACGAGGCACTCAAAAGGTAATCCTTTACCAAATAGTGTCACTAGGCCACCTGGAGCTGTACTGTTTACCCCATGAGCTGTGGATAGCATACCACTTTTTCATGGCTTTGGGTCACATATATTCTTCCATTGCTACTTGCGATAGAATAACAGAGAGTAAGTTAAGATCCAGCGGTGGTTCTTCTAGATACTGCGTGGGCTCATCCTTGACCTGGAAACCAACTCTCCAAGTTGAAACAAAAAACAAAAGCATCTTTCTAAGTCATGGCATCCTTCAGAAGTCTAGTGATTGATTGACACAACGGCCAGGGCGAGGTAGCCTGTCATGTTCCCTTTATTCGACACCACCAGGCTCCGTGGCCCTTAGAACACTCGGCTGCTTCTGGGCACAGGAGAGGAACAGCTTCAGAGTAGGCAGGCTTAATGGCGGGGACAGGTTGGGCAGCGTGTCTCTCTCTATTCAATGTCAACAGGCTCTGTAGCTATGAGAGCACTCAATTGCTTCTGGGCGCAGGACAGGAACAGTTCCAGGCTGGTCAGGCTCCGTTGGCGGGTGACTTGATCGAGCTGTTGATTGTTTAGGAAGAGGAGGGGAGAGAGAGAGAGAAAAACTTCAGTTGGGAGAAAGTTAGTGATGCCAGTGAGACCTACCAGGAGGGGCTTTCTGTACGAGAGGCATCCTGATCATCTTTCCTGTGCAGTCACTGCTGCTGGCCTGTTATCCGGGCTTGGAGAGTGACTGTGGCCTACAGGTAACTGGAGAAGTTGTATGTAGACTCTCAGAGTGATTTTATAATATATGAGAACAGGCATGCTGGTTTAAAAAAAATAGATCAAATACCCTCAAAAGATCCTATCAACACCCACAGATGCACAGGACATAAAGAAAATCAATTACATCACACTTGGATCCAGGAAGAACGCTGAGTGAGGTGACTTGACACCTTCAATTTAGCCAAGTGTTGTGGAGTGGAGAGGACTGTGCTAAAAAAAAAAATGGAGGGGAGGGGTTGGAGAGACAGCTCATCAGTTAGGGTCAAGAGCCAGCACTGCTTTTGCAGAGGACTAGAGTTTGGTCCCCGGTACCCACATAGGGAGGCTCATAACTGCCTGTAACCCCAGCTCCAGGGGACCTGATGCCCTCACTGGACTCTGAGAGTGCCCGCATGGCACATGTCTGTAACACACGGACACAAACACATGCATAAATAATAATAAAAATCAATCTTTAAGGCCTACTTCTCCTTTTAAGAGATTTTTAAATTAGGGTTATTTCAGCAGATTGGCAGTAAACTAATGCAGTGATCAAAACCAGGTTCAGCAAAGAGTATCTATCCGTGTGAGAACTTTCTAGATGATGAAGATAATGTTGCAGAAAGAAATACGCTAGCAGTGAGAAGCCAGTGCCTACAGCTTATACAATGGGAGCCTTCAAGAGCACTGTGGGGGTTCTGTTTTATAACATAAACCTGCCATATCCTTTTTATAAGCACCCTTAAATCCAAGTGAGAGTTCTCTGTTAAAACACACTTAATATTTCACTGAAATTCAGGGTGACTAAAAACTGGAAGACAAAACTTTCAAAGTATCCAAGAGTCAGCCGAAAAAGAGTGTCATTTAGCAAAACAGTTGTGTAGGAGAATGGGTGGGAAAGTCTCCCTCCGTACGTGTACAACATAGTTCTGGCTCATCTTTCCTCTCAACCTTTTCCCTCTTCCTTTGTCACATGACGCCTTTGGATAGTTATAAAGACAAACAAACGCTCCTCCTACTCACAGAGTCATAACAGAATTCTGGGAGAGAGGAGGCATGGTCTGCCTCGCAACACACTGTATCCTCAGCTCCGAGAAATGAGGCTGGAAATGTTAGACACTTGTCAAGTTCCCTGAGGATGACTGAACTGAACTGTACAGAAGCCCCAAAAGGGCCAAGGCATCTACTGGGAAATGGCTGGTGCAGCCTAAATTCCAAGAGCAACAGGAGGGCCAAACCTCATCCAGAAATTGGGATGCTTAAAAGACATTTTAATATGTGCAGGGGATGTGCCCGTGTACACACACACACACACACACACACACACACACACACACACACACACACACAGTGTTTAGTTGTCCTTGAAGCAATACCTCATCTAGAAACTGGGATGCTTAAAAGACATTTTAGTATGTGCAGGGGATGTGCCCGTGTACACACACACACACACACACACACACACACACACACACACACACACACTCAGTGTTTAGTTGTCCTCGAAGCAATGAGAACATATAAAGTTCAAGTGTACACCACCCAGATTAGAAGACGTTCACAACTATCCTGTACAGATTCAGTATGTGGCCATAGAAGCCAATTACTCAGGTAGCAAGAGGTGGAAATTAAATTGCTTTCCAGAGTGGCGGGCGAAGGCTGGAGAAGACAGATGACAAGGACCCGCACCAGAAGCAAAGATGCCTTCCAGGAGAGCCTGGCTCTGACATCTTAGCTTTGGGCTTGCTTTAAGCCTCAGTCTGTTGTAAATTGAATGAACAGCCTTAGACAGTTAGCTCAGGTGGGGAGGTCCTTTTTGTCGCTGTAGCCTCTCTTCCTATGTCCCCTATGGGGACCTCTGTGTCACAGCGGCTTGTCATCCTGTGTCCCCTATGGGGACCTCTGCATCACTGGTTTTTCTTCCTGCGTCCTATGCAGCTTTGTGCAGTAATGTATTCTGTGTTTTACAAAGGGCTTTCTGCTGAGTTTGGGAAATGGAAATTTTAAAGAGATACTGTTACATTTTTTCATTGCTTTGGTGCTGGCATACAAATTCATAGGTTTCACCTTGGCATTTTCAAAGATAATTGTTCATCCTCCTGTGACCGTTCACCCTCAATAACCCCCACGATCATAGCACATGTGTTTCATCACCCCCTCCTATCTGCACAACTTCTCCCAGTTAGGTTGGTGGTCCCTGTTCCGCCTTTACTGCCTACCCCCCCCCCCAGTCCCAAAGACACACATATTTGAGCGTTGACTGTTGGGATGGGGACATGACAGAGAACACGTGGCACTTCCCTTTCTCAATCAGGGTTACTTTGCCTTGTATAATAATTTCCAGACCGGGTTTATTTCTCGATCCCGTGCTCCGTTAGTCTATGTGCCTTGCTGTCCTTGTCACTAGGAGTCTGTATTATAGCTTGAAGTCATGTACTGTGGGTATTACCTGGCAGTATTCTTAGTACTCGTTTTACTATTCATGATAGTTTGTTTCCATACAAATACTAAGATTTTCTTCCTAGCTTGGTAAATAATGTTACTGGGGATTTGAGAGGGATTTCACTGAATACATGCATTACTTTTGGTAATATGTTATTTTATGATATTAATTCTTCCAATCCAGGAGCATGGAAGGCATTTCCATGGCTTAGTATCTTCAATTTTTTTCAACTGCCTTTTACTTTTTATTGTAGAGGTTTTTTCCACTTTCTTGGTTAGGTTTATTCCTGGGTACTTCATAAAATGTCCCTTTTAAGTATTATTACTTAGTCTTGGGGTATAATGAACATTGAGGAGTGTCTTAGTTCGGGTTTATTTCTATTGCTCTAAAAAAACAAACAAACAAAAAAACCACACCCTGACCAAAAACAACTGGGGGAGGAAAGGGTTTATTTCATCTTACACTTTCAGGTCATGTCCATCATCAGGAAAGTCAGAGCAGGAACTCAAAGTCAGGAACCTTGAGGCAGAAACCGAAGCAGAAGCCACAGAGGAGCCTTGCTCGCTGGTCTGCTCCTCATGGTTTGCTCTTAGACCATCCAGGGTCACCTGCCTGGGACACTGCACCCGGTGGGCTGGGCCCTCCCACAATCATTGAGCAGGAAAATGTCACAAAGGTTTGCCAGTCTGATGTGGGCATTTTCTCAACTGTGAGCCCCCTTTCCCAAATGCCTCTAGCTTGTGCCAAGTTGAGTAAAATCTAATCAGGATAAGAAGTCTCTGAATGCTTATAGTACAGGCAACAGTTCCCTGGCTTTTTAAACTTTATAATCCATGTATGCACAAAGCAAATTTTGAAAAATATCCTTCAGTCTTATTTCTTCTGAAAGAGTTCTTTTAGACCCTAAACAAACAAATTGCAAATAGAGAACAGTGGTTGACTGCTCCTGGGATTACACAGTTACAGAATTTTAATGGTGAGGCTTAACTGCTAAATCTAACTTTTCCACACCACAGTACGGAAGACGGATGCTGAGTAGTTACGATTGCATTATCCATAGTCCTCCCCACTTTAAAAAGGACATTTAAACACATCTGAGTTTGGCTGCTGTATATCAAGGTGAGGACATTGAAATCCATCTGAGTGTGGTTATTGTATATCAAGGTGAGTCTTCTGTCTTTGTTTTTGATGAGATCGGTTCTTCAGAGGCTCACTGCAGAGGAACCTGCTCCAAGCCCAGAAACCACTGAAGACCTCTGGATGATGACACAATTATCCATCCTGACTTAAGATCATGACCAACTTCCAGATGCCGCATGTGCATGTGCACACGCTCGCTCATGCACACACACACTTGCACTCACATGCATGCACATACACGCATGCATGAATGCACACACACGCACATACACACACATGCATGAATGCACACACGCACATATACAGACATACATGCATGAATGCACACATACACTCGCACATGCACTCACACATAGCCATAAGGTCCTGGACTTTTTCTTAGCCATCCACAAAGGGCTGACAGACAAGAAGACACGGAATTCTTCAGTGTGGTCCGCACTGTGAATACGGCCACTTTTCCTCTCCCTTGTCAATCCTCACCAGAGTTGAAAACCTTCGAGCTTTGTCTATAACCTGACTGGTTGTGTCACAGAGGCTCCCTGGTACCATGTCACGATGGGCATGTCTGCTGTAAGGAGTTTCTCTAGTAAAGGGTTTCCCTCTGTTTTTAGGTAAGTAAGTCTGACGTGAGAGTTCACGCTGCACAGAAAGCTGAAGGTCAGACGCAGAGCTGGGAATGGATCTGTGACTCTGCCGTAAATCATGTTGATACAGACTTTGGATCAACCAGGGAAGTGAGTGTCCCATAAGAATACGTGTTTAGAATAAGCCAGACTCTGCAAGAGTCAACAGTCTGGGCAGTGGTTTGACCTGAGGCTGTGCCAGCTGCCTTCATCCTGAACTTCAGAGTGTGGGTCTGGACTCTTCATTGGAGCAGTCACAAGTCCACAGCACACTCCCCGGTGACACCCAGCTTGGGGTTTATGTCTCCAATGCATCCCGGGAGTCACCGCAAAAAAGAAGTTGTGCTCCAGATGGACTGCAGATGCTCACAGAGAGTAAACAAAAGTCGGGTAAGTGGGTACAGAGAGTCTAAACTGCGCTGGCCACAACTGAAGGGCTGCTGCTTTGTTTTAAGATGTCTCAGGGTGAAAACGTCTCTGCTCTCGAACCGTCTCAATCAAGTTCTTTACATCTGAGCAGTCTGCCCTTTTATCTCAGACTGCCACAGAGCCCCCGGGGAACATGAGCACCCAGCTCTAGAATCTTCATGCACACCAGGCACACCGTC